TTAACCATCGGAGCCCTAGGCGGTCCAAAACAACCACCACTCCCACCACACTTGTGCTTTTTTTTTCTCCTCCCGTCTTCATCACCCTTCTCTTTTTTTCCATCGGCTTTGGGGTGTTGGATTGACAGTCAATACTGGTGTCACACATGTCTTTGAAAAAGCAGAAGCAGCGGGGCCCTGGAGACGGACAGACACCTGATCTGTTGTAAATGGTGCACCCCTTTGGGACCACTAATCCCGGTTGTTAGCACCAGATTCAAGATTAACAGAAACAGCTGTCCTTACAAAATGCTGGGACTTGACTTCTGCTCTATCCTTGACTCGTGCTGTACCTACTATCACTCTGATAATGATTCGAACTAGAAAGATCCACTCAGTGCTGAAAAGACCACTGCTGTATGGTGTGATTAAATGTCTAGACACTAATGGCCCTTAAGGAGTCATAAAACCCACTTCATTCAAACCCAAAACAAGCGGCGATGTACGCAAGCAATTGGCTCGAAGTCGTCGTATAAGACGTTTCATACGATCTTGCCAAAAAATAAACTCACCAAACAGTCTGCCTGCATAGCAGTGGCGCCGATGTACTGAGCTGTGTGCACTGGTAGTTCCGTTAGCTAGTATAAAAGTATAGACCAGGCAATAAAAAGGTGTTTTGAGAAGGTGTGAGTCACCGCAACCTCGAGCATGCACCCATAACCGGGCACCCAAAATGTTGTTCAGTTTGCCGCAACAGAATGCGAGATTAGCCGTGGACAGACAGAGAGGTGCACGGACGCACGCACACACACTACCGATCGCACGCTCCTCCTGGTGGAGATGATGATAATAATAACTCAATCAAGCCCGGTCATGAAATAAATAATTACACTTAACTGCATTTCACGTTGCTATTGAAAATTGCTTTATTTTGTTCTCATACTCATTTCCCTCTCCTGCAGGTAACGAGACCTATTTGGTTCTATTTTCCGCAGTACCACGCTGCCGATGGCTCCGTGTGGGAGGAGGGTCTGGGATAAAGAGTGGAGAGGAGCAGCAGGAGAGACGAGCAGAGCACACAGCTCAGGGCAGAGGTGGCTCCCGGCCATCCATCTCTGGTTTCAGGATTCAGAGAGTGCTGACAGCTCCGGGTCCCCCGGCACAGGCCTCTGGGCTGTAACCACGGATACCCAGACAAACCAAGAGCTGTCACTCAAGCAGTACCAGCGAGTCACAGGAGATGTGAAAACAGGATAGCAAGACACCAAGGGGGTGTGTGCGTGCTTATACCTACAGTATGTGTGTGTGTGTTACTGAATACACAACAGGAAATTCAGAAGCTATGAGTGCAGACAGTCACTGGTCTAGTGAGATATCATCAGTCACAAATAGGACTCACACACATACAGAAGACACACAAATGCAGATGAAGGTTTTGGGAAACTCAAGGCTCAGACAAACACAGACATGCTGATAATAGCAAACTTCCACCTCATGAATTGTGCAGCTGTCTAAACCTCCTCGACATTCTAATAGAAGAGTGCTTTTTTCTTAGACGAGCATCGCCGCGCTTCTTTTAAAGCAAATGAAGACTATTGTGAGGCGGGTGCAGTGCAACAAAGAGAGGAGGAGGTGCGTTTTAAAGTGTGAATGATCGGGGTCAATATCAGGGCAGGCAACTTCTTTTCACAAATGAATAAATGCACAGGTAGGTCAACACGAGAGCAGGCTAATTAAATCAAAGGTTTGGAATCAGCCTCTACTTTCAGGACAATGTGCACATCTCGTTCCAAGACGGAAAAAAAGTGTTGTTTTTTTTAAAAATACAATTACAGATTTGCTTGCTACAGTATACAGCAGATTCTCTCCGGTTTTCAAAATAAACTCATCATAGATTGTGTCGAGCAGATAAGAACAAGTGAAACACAGAAAAGCCAAAATTTAAAAAAAAGAAAGTTTGGTTCCACACAAACGGCGGAGAAAATGCTTTCCGCCGTAACGTCTGCACGTTGATGAATTGTCTAGAGCAGGAGAATAACAAATAAATTATTCAAATCTCTACCTTGGTGAAGTCGGAGGAGGGTTTTCTCTTTGTTCTACGCGCTGGCATTGATTTCTCCCAGTGGCGAAGAGTGGGATGCCTGAAGGTTAGATACACACACACACACACACACACACACACACACTATGCAGATAAATGACTCCTGAGCTCTGGAGTTTGATCCAAATGAAGCAATGATGTAGCTCACTGGCCCGGGCCCACATTCAAGTAAAGAGTGTGCTCTAGTAAAATGTGCTCTCGGCGTGAGTGTGTGTGTGAGAATACTACCACCAGTATGGTAGTGGTGAGATAGAGAGAAAACAGGAGAGAGAGACAATCTGCTGCCTTGGTATGAAGCTTATATGTTGGAATGACCAGATCATTAGCACTATAGATCTCGGCAGCATGCTAGTCGTGTTTCTGGTGTGTTCACCACACGCACACACAAACAAACAAAGGCAGCATTCACACAGCTGCTGCCAAACAACTGATGCACCACTTATACGTGTATGTAATTCTGTATTTGTGCCGGGATGTGCCTCTCTGTCCATGTGTGTCATTATGTTGGTGTTCATACTTTCCTCCCCTTTTGCCTGAGTGCTTGTATGCGTGTATGTGTGTGTGCGTGTGTGTGTGTGTGTGATGGTAGTAATGTTTATGTTTTTCTCTCCCCTCTCAATCCCAATGCCCAGCGGTGCTCCCTGTGCAGCGCAGCAAAATTGGCCTGAGAGGTTTGGGAACATTTCCCCCTTACAACCAGGGGCAAATCAATAATGTCTCGGTTGAGGGAGCCACTCTCCATATGAAGGTGAGCTGACTCAGCAGTCCCAGAAGCTGGAGGGTGGGGAGTGAGGGGGATAGAGAGAGGGAAATGAAGGGGTGGAAATGATTGCTTTACAAGCGGTAAAATGCACGGCGGTGTTGAGAACTCTCTGTGGACGCAGCGCTACACACCTTCTTGATCCTCTGGTGGAGGAGCGGGAGGGAGGGAGGGAGGGATGGGAGAGCGCATGCATACATACACACTTGGCTTGTAAATACAATGGCTGCTCTCTCTTGAGCTGCGAGTGCAATGGAGCTCTCTTAATGGTTTCTCCCTTTCTTACTTGCTCACCGTCAATCTACTGCAATACAGCAAGCCTGGCAAGCCCCGATCCAGCCATTGCCAAGTCAATCAGCGCTCTGCAGCGGCTCGATGGAGACTTAAACTTCGTCATGATGTTCATACATGAAATTTGACCTCTGCATTCAGCCGACCCTAAGCTTTTCTCAGAGCAGTGGGAAATGCGGACAGCAGGAGCTGCGGATCAAACCGCCAACCTTGTGGTTAAAGGACGACCTGCTCTACATACAGAGCCCCCCCCCCCCTCCAATAGCAATATTCCTATCTTTACCTCCTCTCTTCTCTATTTATGCTACCAGGTCTCTGCAGCTATCACAGCGCTGATTAAATGCCAGATTTACCAATTACAGGGTGATCAGGAGGGAGGACGGGTGAGGAGATGGTGGACATGGCAGGGTGCTCCGACGTCCTTCAGGCACGGCAGGAGATCTGCAGCAGCAGCAGCAGCAGCAGTTGGCAGTGGAGAAAGCATTATGTCTCATTAGAAGTCCCGGATCATCTCTCAACATCACCTCCCAAGTCCCATACAAATCTCTCTATTCATTTCTTGTCTATTCATTTAAGCTTAAATTCACAGATTGTAGTTGATGCAAGAAATACAATATATAACAATGGGTGTGTTTGCTTTCTTGGCAGAAATATGTATTTTCAAATGGGCAAATGTTCACAGTTCATATTGATTTTCTATCTTCAAGGGAGCCATCAGTTAACATGTACTTCAAATCGACTATAAAACTGCAGAGTCTTGGAACATGCTTGGGATAGCTCATCCGTCACAGTGAACAAAGCCGAAGCTATGCTATTGTTCTGTGATAATGCGTGTTGAGAGCAGGGACCATTTTGAAAACTCTCCTTGCTGGCGTGTGGTCAAGGACACGAGACATGACATTTGAGACCTGGCTGCTAAAAAAAAAAAAAAAAAAACCGCTGCGTTCATGAGAAAATGAGGAGAAATGAGTGCTGGATATTGTGAATTTAGTCACACATTAAAAAGAGTGGTGTTTAATTTAGAGGGTCCTTAAACACACCAGACAGACTGCATATGCAGTCTGAGCTGCAACATTAACCATCGACTACTACACCACACTGTTGCAGATTGGATGTCTGCATCAGTGTCAGCACCAGGAAGCAGGGCATTCTAGTTTTGTTTTTTTAGACGAAATTCCAAACAAATGCCAAAGTATGGGGCATCGTCTTGGATAACACAACGAAGTCAGTCTAGGACTTATTTCCATCTTGGAGCATGCCGTTCCTTGACGTCATCCGTAGACAGCCGTACCACATCCCACATCCCAGCACAGCACATGTTGCTGATAAATAGAATCGTCTCCTGGATAAAGTAAACATGGAAAGAGTCGGCTCTCAGATTTTAGACCGATATGATAACAGAGCGAAGCAGTCTATGAATGGTTTGGAGTCCTGAGGCATAGCTCAGGGGCAGTAACGAATGCAGCAGTAGGGCAGAGTGGGGGAAGTGGTAACTCTGACAAACACTCAAGGCAATGAAATGCTCACTGTGATGGATTACTGATTTCAAGCCAAGTTTAAGTTGATTTCCAAAAGCGGAAACGAATGGAAACCGATGGTTCCCCAGTAGGAGGGAAAACAATCCAAATACTTTTAAACAATGCTGTATTTTGTAAAAGTTATGCAAACCGCTGGTGTGATCATTTGAGGCTTGAAGGCTACTTTGCAGCTGTAGGTGAGCAGCTGTTTTCCCTGTTGCAGGAGGTGGCTGGGCTGCACTCTCCGAGCGGCACGCTGACAGTAAATAATGTTTCTGGCATCAGGCTTCCACGTCGGGAAAGGCAGCAGTTGCCATCTTCTCAACTTATACAGAGCGAGGAGCAGAAAATATTACGGAACGCCCTCTGTGACAAGCTAAATGTGGTAATGCGTCCCTGTCCATCATTTGAATGAATTGTTAAATGACATGTGCATTGCAATACGTCAGGAAGTAATAGCCTTCTGCCACATCTTCGCAGCACTCTGGCGTGGGTTAAAGCGGATCTACCGCGGTGCAGCGAGATAAAGAGGGAAGAATACTTTGCCTATTTCCGAGATATAAAAACAAAAGCACACAGCAACCGTCTGAATGTCTAAATAAACCATGACCCCTGTATCGCTGGATCCTTACTCCATTCTGGGGTAATAAAAAAGCCATGCAGCACGGCCACAGCGAGTTGTTGACGGTGCGACAATGTTTGTGCACATAGCTTTTCTAGCAGCTGTCTGCTCTGGTGAGGGCTGGACGAGCCGGCCGAGGTGAATATATCACTCTCACTCAGTGAATGTCACAAATGCCATTTCCAACTGCTGCATGTTACAGGGACGGGGTGACTGCTAATGCCGCAGAGCGCCATGACGTCTATATTCCCGCTGCCAACATCCTGCATGCACGCTTTTTGATTATCGAACAAAAATCACGCTCGCTGTGAGCCACATAAATATCAATAAGCCAGAAAGTCTGAAGGCGATTGGTTGGTGTGTTCCTGCTGATCACTGCTGGAACTTTTTAGGCAATCACCGCTCGACTACATACAGTGCTTTGTCAACTGAATTTGTAACTTTGATATTGACTTCCCGCCTCCAGACTGGGCACAGATTCTAATGTGGTATTCAAAACAAACAAACATCACAGGAAGAGCTTGGTTTTTTTCCCTGGGATGATATTTGACGGTGGCCATTTTTAATGAGCGGCCTCTTCACTGGCAAAAGGGCCGCTGCAGGCTCTGGATAGCACTCAAAAAAAAGAGGAAAAAAGAAGAAGAGAGCACACCAAAAAGAGAGGAAACTGAAGCACATCTCTGAAACACACTCCTCTGCGTCAGTGAAGCTCATTGTTTGCGGCGCAGTCATCAGGGGCATGCTGTGCTGCTGAGCGCTGAGAGCCCATGCTGATTATTTCCCACATCTTCAAATATGAATGTTGGACGCCAAGGTCATTCTCCTCCGGCTATCCGTACCTCTCATTCCGCCATCACTCATTACTATATCTATATCGCTATACATCATCTCTCTCGCATCCTCCGCTCTTCGCATCTCCTGATCAAAAAAAAGGCAAAACAGTCATTTCAGCGAGCAGAGGATGGGAGTGCAAAACTATTGAGTTATGATAAGGAAATATCTTCAGCTCCAGGTTAAACCCATCATTGTTTCTCTGGAATCAGGACTGATTTTGTTGTTTTTTTTCTCCCATGAAATACATTTTAATTAAATGCGTCTTATCAAATAACCTGCATAATTAGCTGAACTATTCGGTGTTAAAGTTGCATCATTATCACCTTCTTACAGCAAATACACCACAACAACACAGAGCTGCTAAAAAGAGAATTGTGTTGTGAAATTGTTTCCGTTTCTTCAAGCTCTAAAAAACACACATATTCCTCTCGACAACTCTGCAACAAGTAGTAAATAAAAAGCAAACTACGACGGCCAGCTGTGTTCAACACAAGACACCCAACCATCAATATAAACAATAATTATTCTTTCCAAACGTCTGAAGATTATACACAGCAGAGACAACTAATTACATGCGACTGCCAACACGTTTGGACTGTATTCACTCTTAAACCTTCCAATCAAACATTGTGCTTGCTAAGTCAAATAGTGCTCGTCTACAAGCTATATGCGCATCTTTCAAGTAGAGAAAAAAAAAAAAGGGGCACTTCCTTTCCAAGAAGGAAAGGGGCACCGTGCCGACCGGCGTGTTCAACAAAAGAAAAACAATCTCCTGTAATTGCCTGCCATCAAACAGAGAACAGCAATTCGAAATGCAGGCTAGAAGGAGGAGGGTATGGCAGCGCATATTGCAAACCAGTCAAGGACGATAGACGCATCCATCTTCCAAGAAATCTCAGAGCCAATCAAAGAGAAGAAGGCCTGCTGGTGCTGAGGTGTTGCCAGCCAGATCATTAGAGCTGGACACGACACACACTAAACAATGAGGAGTTAAAAGACTCGGCCGCCTCTGACCTTTCGAAGGTAAAATGGGGGGGCGGGGGCGCAGAAGCTTATTGATTTGAGACAGTTTATCTGTATCACAGGCAACAGCCCACACAGACTGCATGAACGACACTTTCACCCCTCAGGATTAGATCCGTAAAGCCGAGCTGACGGAGACAAGGCGAGCATGATGTAAACATGGATACACAGATCTGATATCCATCCATCTATATATAGGTGGATTAAAGCTGCTCTGTGGTGCTTCACTAGTGCCTAAACCGCTCAGTTTGGTTCAAATAAACTTGGTTAGCACGGTTCATGTGGGCTGGTGTGAAAGCTGTCAATCAAACCCTGACGCGGACCGAACAACCGCCGGTCCGGGTTTGTTTGCGACGACTCAACCACGGGATTTTATGACAGCAGATATGTTATTTTAGCATGATTTCAAAAAGCTAAGCTACGAATAAATCCAACTGCTGATCATGAAATCTGTTCAGGAAGCAATCTTATAACGGACCTGTAAGCACGTCAACGCTGGCATTTTCCCTGATCAATAGGTCGGAAGCTGTTCTCCATTACAGCCATAATGTCCGTGCGCTCCCCGCCGTTCGCACCAGTCATCTGGGAGAGTGCAAAGGGGCTTTTGTACACCCCTTTCTCTACCATCACTCCGCACAACATTCGGTCGATTTGCAGTCTAACAATACTAAAAATGCTTATAATCTAGTTATTAAAGCATTTAAATTCTGCACAAACTTCTGTCAGTCTCCGGAATTTGATTTCCCAACGTTGCTCCATGATGATGCCGGACGACAATAGCCAAAAGGGAACAATCAACAAAGTACCTGTCACTCTACATGTTTGCTCCTCTTGGTTCGATTATGTAAAAAGTCAATGTGAACAGCAACAATGTATCATTTTTCCCTTCGGGTCGGACCAAATAGACCCAACTAGAGAAGTGAAAGCACCCAGAGACCACCAATGATGAACAATTATGCACACAGAAAAACATGATTGTATGCAACACATTTAGCCATTAGTAACTCACATTGTGTACCTCAATGCAATGTGTTTTCTTCCTCGTGGCCCTTGTGTACCAACCACATTTCTGGTCAATACGGACGCGAGACATTTTATATTGATTAGTTTGTTTCAAGCGCGCCGATACATAATTCATCAAGTCTTGCGTCCGTGTGTGTATGTGTGTAAATGTTGGAAGGGTAAACCATCAGTCAAAGTCAACACCTCCCTTCGCACAATTACCAGAAGTGTTATAGTGAAACAAAGGCCTCCACTAAAAAAATGCAGCATGCTGCAGAGATTCCGGGGACCAAAGCGGCAATCACGGCTCTCTTATCTCCCCCGCTCTTCATGAAATGTTTAAAAAAGGGTCCGAGACTCGTCCATGAAAGAATTAAAAGCGCGATGCGATTAAAAGACAAGACGAGAAAAGAAAGGGAGTTCAGCGCCTCGCCCGGAGCACGTTGGCCTCCTCAATCTTTTAGTGGAAATTGGGTTTGGGGCCGGAGAGCGTTTTCCCCACAGGCACATCAACGCCCTTTCCACAGATCAGAGATCATCACACCCTTGTGCGCTCGATCCAAACCGCGGCAAATACCAGAATAGAAACACAACGTCCTCCAGGCAGCCGAGGATCAGTAGTCAGGGGGCAGTCTTTGTAAAGTGTTGCTCATATCACAAGGGCACTGCACTGCTCTCACTCAATCCTGGACGTGCACGTTCAGCCGCTGACCGGCGCCTCAAATACTCTCCAGCAATGATTCATAGACATTGGTTAATCTTATCAGGGACTGCCTGGACACAGCAGTAATAAACTGGAAATTGTCTAGTGAATCTCATATCAAATCACAACCACGGGGAACATAAAGCAACACCGCTGCCCAAAGCATGAACGGACGGGTGCACGGAATGTTCTTGTCGAGACAAGCTATAACGTGATGGAGATAATTAATTATTTGATAAACAAACTAATATAATAATTAAGCTGAATCTCTTATTAGTTATCATAAACAGCGAAAGTTCTCGGCTCGTTGTTTTCCTCATTATGCATCGGTCTGTATTTAATGTTCATCCCAAATCTGTAAAGGGATGTAAGAGTGATATATGTACCCGAGCTTTTAAACAGCAATGAATGAGACAACCTTCAGGTTAATCAGACACAGAAATGTAATGTCTTTGCTCTCCGCCCCTTTCTTATTGAAAACTGCCAGTGAGACCTGAAACTTCACTGAATCCAAAGGTTGTTTGAGTAGCAAGTAGAAAATGAGATCACGCTGAGGCCTTGAGTAATGACGGATCTGCTTGTCCTTCCACGATGCGACTCAAAAGGAGGCAGTAAAGCCGCCTGTCACGGACATTAAAATACGACTGGCCACTTCAATTAGCCTAATCATAAAATATAATTTGAGACACATCCATCTACAATGACCTGAAGACTTTGGGGAGGGGGAGAAAGAAAGAAAAAAAAGAACAGTCCTGTTGTTCATTTATTAAATATCACATTACCTTGACTTCTCCGTCTGGGTCGCAAGTTACATTGAAATGTAAAAGTTAGAGGTCATTACACGGATGTACTTTTGTTTCAATATTTAACGGGCACAGTGAATCAAATCTGAGGCATGCAAGGTTATACCGAAAAGAGTTACACACAACCTGATTAATTCAGCTCCTTTCTGTGAGTCATAATAATGTAGAGATGTGACATTTTGAATGCCGATTTACTCATGGTCTTAAAATTTCTCTTAATTTCGCATTCAGTATACTGGTAAATGCCTGCTGCTGGCAGTTTCCTTTTCAAGTGAAATACCTCTATAATTTAGAAAAAAATATAGAAAATGTAACAGAATACATGAAAAATAGCTGAAAGTTTTAAGCTGGAACTAAATTATTACTGGTAAAAAAAAAAAAAGATCCACAGCCATGCCAGCAGCCCTGTGAGGCTGCAATAAAGCAGAGTGGTGCTTTGAGTTATGTTTGTTGTATATTTGTGGATCTACATATTAGGATACATCATGTGGTACCCCTGGCTGTTCATTCCAAAGGTCATGGCAATCCATCCAGTCGAACATTTGACTCATGGTGGTCAGGGGATTACTTAAAATCAGTGGGCTTAATCATGAGGGGATCATGCATGTACATACAGAAATGTCATGGCAGTCCATCTAATCGATGTCAGCATGGACCGCGGTGATGAAGTGGTTGACTGACGGACCAACATTACATTCCCTAGATAAAAATTATTATTTTAATCCATGTTTTTCAGAATTATGTCTTCCCACCAGTGGCCATCCTTCACAATGACGGAACAGAATCCATTTGTGTGTCCCTTATTCAGCATGAAGTCAATAGCATCTCGCCTCCAGCTGTGCAATGTTTTATGAATTATGACAATAGTTCAAGAGGGGTTTACTCCACACGGGCAGCGAAACCAACTCTGAATGTATTCTTCTGTTACAATAAAGACCCAGAGATGAGGCAGGGTGATGCTGATGTCACTGTGTGTCAGGACTGATTTCAGGTGAGCTGTTCCATTTTATCTGCCGCCCCCCCCCCGTCACAACCCTCCACATAAAAATGATCAAGGATTGATCGAAGCAATTTCAGTTTGCCTCTCAAGAGTATGTTGAGCGAATCATGGCCCCGAGTTTGACGTGAGCTGTGGAACACAGAATTGCCTAAATAAGCAAAAAATCTTTAAAAAAAATAAAAAATAAAAAAAAGGTGTTGATGGAAAATATGCCTCTTTCATTCCCACACTTTTGTGGGTGAAGCGACTCCTATCTGCAGACTGATGGCAGTCAATTTGCGATGTCAAATGTGATAACTGGCAGTTCGCTGCAGATACACATCCATACCATCCACAAACCAATCCAGGCTCAAAAATATAAACGAAATCATTTGAAAAAAGCGATGGAAAGATCATCCTAATATAGACTTGTCATCATCTTCACTCCGAGGTACCGTTGTTTATTTCCCCCCCGCGGGGCTGTGGCCTTGCATGGCGAAGAAGATGCCACTCAACAAACTCATCTTCAAAATCTGTTTACCAGGATGCAGGGCGGCAAAGGGGGGGGGGGGGGGATTAGACTCACAAATTCAACCTCAGAGTTTTCATGTCAATGTCGTCCTATCTGATTGTTTTGGCACTCACATCTGAATGGGATTGGGAGTGTGAAGCAAACACTGAGGCAGAGAGCTGCAGATGGTACTCCAGTGAGGAAGCGAGAGGCGGAAGTGGCGCCACCAGACACGCTTTTGGCTAATCGACATGAGAACACAACGGAGCCGAGCCCGCGTGCTGGGCAGACTGGGCACAGAGTAGACAGTGATAAAGCAATGTGTTGGAAGCACCTGCACATTTCCTGGGTATTCTTTTATTTTTTTTGCTCTCTGTAGTCTGCTGGGTGATGCACGTTTCATTACCGTTTTATTTCTAATGCAAACTGTTATCAAGCTTAATACCTGAGCTGTAAACTCCAGACAAAAAACAGGACTTGGTTTGAATTTGATTGCTGTGACACAATACTTGACATGGCCCCGCCTAAAGACTTAAACTAGAGGGAAAATAAAACATTTAAGTCTTAAGCCTTGACCAAAACAAACTGTAAATAACGCTGGCTCAGGTTTGTAAGAAGGCCAATAGTCGATGCAGTGGTGCTTTGCGCTACAGGCTACCATGCAAACACGCTGATGTTTACTTAAGGTTTACCATACCATCTTAGTTCCATGTGTTAGCATGCTAATTTGATTAGCACTAAACACAAGGTACAGCTATGGTCAATGTCATCACAGGTATTTGCCCATAAACCAAAGTTTTGGACAAACAAAAAAAAAGAAAAATGGAAAAGTTACCGGGTTGCAATACAATTCATCCTGAGGGGTACATGAATGCCTGTACCAAATGTTGTGACAATTCAAGAGTTATGAGACATTTCACTAATCAATTCAATAGTTGTTGAAATGAATCTCGCCGTCCGTGGAGCCTACCACTTTGAAAGGAAAATGTTGAAGTGACGTGCGCTTTTAATTATAAGTATTCAGAGATCTGAAAGACTTAGATCTTACAATTTGCTAATGTAGCCTTGAGATTTGACTTGCCCCAAAAGATTTAACAACAGCTTTGTTCAATACTTTGACTGAAAGCGCAGCATTTCATTGTTGCCACAAACAAACAACCGACAGCGAGGCCCCGGGACCAACGTTGGCTACAAATATCTTCAAATGCTTCATGTTTTGACTTGCTTGAAGTGGTATCATAGTTCAGCATATTTAAATGGATAATAAACTTGGTATTTGTAATGAATTGAAATACTGATATCACGAGGACAGCGGGCCGTGCGGCGAACAACAATGGATTTCAGCGAGCGGAGTTTGGAGAAAAATGCCAGCATAGAGCAAGCAGAGAAAGTGAAGGAGAAATGTGTCTTCCTGAGTCAGAAACCTCATTAGTACCAAGCCTGGATGTGGTTTTTAACAGTGATACCACGGATCTGTGAAATCTGGGCATTATCCCCACCAATAGTGGTTCCAAAACAACAGGCCTTGCGCTACACAAAGAGTCTGCTTCCATTCAGTTCCCAACATCCTCCAAACCAAACAGTTTGGGTTACAGCTGGGCTTTCACTCTTCACCGAGAAGGGAAGCTTCGTTTGGATTGTGTCTGGAATCTGCGACTGTGGGCCAACAGAACCAAGACCGCAGCCCACCAGGGGATGGATATGTTGTAAAAAAAACAAACAAACGTTGACCGGTCGCACAGGGAGGGATCAGCAGACCGCTAGCTGGAGCCTCCAAAGGCGCATTTACACCTGAAGGTGTGAATGCTACACCGAGGCATCGGTTGTGCATTTACACTGAATTTCAGCGCCACAACTTGAGGCACAAAATGGGTTTATCACTATTGTAATAGGTCATGAAAAGAGGTTGTCTTACTGTTGAAGCAAACGGAGGGCAGTGAGGCTGAAATGGCAACCTGCAGGAGGGGTCTCACACTAATGCTTTCTTCAGCTGCTCCACCTTAGGCTTATTGTTCCACGGTGCCCATCAGAGAAGGACGGGAGCCCATTTGAACAAAGCCTAGGCTGGGGCCGGGGCAGCGCACCTTGGCCCTCACATGCTCCATTAAACCGGGAGCAGGGGAAACTATGAGGTCTTGACAGTTACTGGCTCAGAGCTCCACCGCTCCTCGTCCGTGCTTTGCTACCTTGTTTAAAATGGCTGCCTGTAGCCACGGCGGTGGATGTAAACAACCGAGGAGCTGCAGCCAAGAGGACCGAGCTCTAAACAACCCAATGACAAGAACTGTTGCTTGTTCCGACATACAGTGGGTACGGAAAGCATTCAGACCCCTTTAAATTTGTCACTCTTTGTTTCATTGCAGCCATTTGAGTTTAATTAAACACAGCTGGACTCCAATGAAGGAGTAGAACCATCTCAAGGAGGATCAGAAGAAATGGACAGCATGTGAGTTAAATATGAGTGTCACAGCAAAGGGTCTGAATACTTATGACCATGTGATATTTCAGTTTTTCTTTTTTAATAAATTTGCAAAAATTTCTACATTTGTTTTTTTCTGTCAAGATGGGGTGCTGAGTGTACATTAATGAGAAATAAAACGAACTTTTTTGATTTTAGCAAATGGCTGCAATGAAACAAAGAGTGAAAAATTTAAAGGGGTCTGAATACTTTCCGTACCCACTGTATGTCTCCATTATTAATCTATCCGTTGTGTTCAAGTGTCACAATATGAAGTTGGGACCCGGCTGCTGGGCAGATCTGGTTTTATCTAGATTCCAATGCTACTGTCATACTGCAGTCTTCAGGCCTATATTATAGCAAATTTGTAAATACATGTTTTGTGCTATTTAAAAGGTGAAACAGGAACGCAGAAATACAAGCTACCCTTCACAAAAAGAGAGAAAGAAAAACCGCCTTAAACACTCACATTGAGAATATTGTCTTTTTTCCCCCGAGGCAGAAAGTCTGTGCTTCATCCCCAACACTCGCATTATATTCTCCCTCTCCCCCAGAAACACCAACTCCACCGTGCCGTCTTTCTGTAGCCAGCGGACATTTTGCCAAGTAAAGCTGGAAGGGGGAAATTAAGTTTCATCTCAGAAAGTGTTCCGTTATGCAAACCTACTTGATATTAAGAATAATTGAGGCGCCGACTGATGTGAGACAGAGAGCCGCGGTTTGTTTGGAACGTTAACTAGGATGCAGTTGACATTCCAGACTTCATTAAGCTGCTTTAAATCAGTCGAGGAAAAAAAAAAAAAAAAAAGAGAGATTACACTTTTATGAAATTCAGACACAAACAAATGTTCCACCTCGTATTCATCATCGCTCCAACCCCCTCTGGTTACATTTAACATTGACTGACTGTCTCACGCCTCTCATTGGTCAAATGTTTTCCATACATCTATACTAGTAATGCATCACTTCCAGAGTTCATTCTTTCTGTCAACTGCAGTAAAACGGGTTTTGATGGGTTTTGATGAAACCCATGAGTAGTCTAAACTATCATAAAAAAACGCAGGTTATCAATGTTAAACCTCTGTGTTGCTACGAAGCTTTGGATTTTGACCTGAAGATGCAAAACAGCAGAGAGCTGGTAGACAAAGAAAAAGCATGTCTTGCATCACCTGAGGGAAATATAAAAGGTTAATTCTGGCAAGCCTATTTCCAATCCCAGAATAGAACAGGGTGCATAAATGATTATCTACTGCTGGTTTCTGATTGGATTAATCCACATCGGGGTTATCTCAGAGCAAAAAACAACGTCTCTTTCTCGTATTCCTACTGTATGTTTTTATTCTAATTGAGACGGGGCCTAAAGGGGAAACCGAGAGAAAAGGCAGAGAGAGGGAGAGATCATGGAGGAGGACAGCCTCAAGTCAGCTCCAGCAGAGATGGGCCTTGCTGACCTAGATCCAGGCTGAGTGGGGATGATATTAACCAAGCAATTAAGGGAGATGACAGCCGTCAGGCAGGGTCAGACTGACAGGGACAGCAGTCTGTCTCCATCCCTCTTCAGCGTGCTCCCTCTCTGTTTCGCTCCTTCCTGTAATGGTTATTGATTTTTCACAACCAAAACAAAGAGGCGCTGTCAGTCCAGAAGTGGCTGAATTGGTAAAGAGATCAAAAAAAAAAAAAAAAAAAAAAAAAAAAGTGCTTAAAAAGGAAGGAGGAAGTGCAGATGGGATGGGTGCAATGTGAGGGGGAGGGGGCCGAGGCTCACAGGTTGGTGACCCTGTCAGCTCTTTGCTTGGATGTGCTGAAATCACTCCAGGCATGTCAGAAAACTTCATTCCCCAGAGATGATATGGAAGCGAAACTTCTACCACAAAAACTTGTTTCGTGTTTTTTTCGCCACAGGGGGGTGAAAAAATATATCATATTTTGGGGTAAAGTTAGGCAAATGAAACTTCTGGTGTGACGAGGATGGAGGCTGGACATGCAAGTTAATTTACTCCAGAAAGATTGAGGGTAAATTAAGAGGTTAAGGAGTAGACTTTAGCAGACTTCTCAAATGAGATATATATATATATATATATA